CATCACTCACACTCACCACTCACACTCACCACTCACATTCACACTCACACTCATCACTCACACTCACCGCTCGCACTCACCACTCTTCAGTTACAGTCTTGAGACTGAGTGCTCCTGCCAGTGTCATGGGGACAGTACCCCTGGTATCAGCGCTTCGGCTCTTTGCCGGTCGAGGTTTGAAAATGGTCTAATCTGATGTACTTATGAGATGCGGGGAGTTTCTTATTCCAAAGGTTAAATTTGTAAAATTCGTCACAAAGCTCCCATCATACTGGGATTAAGCATTCAGAGTTTCAAGACTTAAAGTGAGAGTGGTGAGGGGGGGGGGGGGCGAGGCACTTAAGATCCATTCCAGGTTCCCAAGGCCTGGCACACAGGTGCCAACACTCATTTACACCACATGTAGTGTACATGGACTTCTCTAAGCTGTTAATTAGGAACACACACAAAAAAACGGAACAAGAAATCCAATTACATGGATTAAACAGTAAAATATTAAAACGGATAAAAACAGCGGTTTTAAAACAAGAAATTTTATAAATAGAAAATTTTATAAATAGAACAGAATGTTGAGTGGAGTATCGCAGGGCTCCATTTAGGGCTAACCCGTGTCATATGCATCAACGACAGTGATGAGAATATTACAAATCGTATCATCAATTTTTTAGATGACAGAGATCTATGGTAAGGTGGGCTGTGAAAACCCATATTAAGGCCTTGAAGACCATCTACACGAACTACACAAATGGTTAGAAAACCGGCAAGAGGTCTTCAATATGGAAGAGTGCAACGAGACCTTGCATGTAGCGCTTATCAGTGCACTTAACTAATCAACAACACGACCTTGCTGCAGATTGAAATAAAACAAAAGCATAGAATTAAAATCTATTCAACAAGTATTAGCTGCAGTACATAAATAAAGCCAGCCTAACCTGAGGAAAAATCAAAGAAGTCTTTGGCAGCAAGAGAGAGAGAAATCAGGGCAGAACTAAGACAACTAAGGAACCGTTGAGGACCGCAGCTCCGCGACACTACGAGCTACACCTGATATAACTCATCTCGACCACACCTTTAAAGGACTAAACAAATTGTAAGATATTCACTCACACCACTAACTTGGCAACACTAATATAACTCTCACAGCGGGCAGCTGCTTTAAGCCACAAAGCACGACACTATACGAGAGATTCTTTTTAAATCCCCATAGTAATGATCCCAGGGACCGGTTCCAGCCCAGGACGTAAATACCTGGACTCAACTTCACTAAAATATATAACTGGAAAAATTCCTCAGGAGGGAAGGGAGGGAGGGATTTATCAGGTTAAAGTGCCAAGCCATTATGACTATATAACACTGGGAAGGGTTCAGGATAAGGATTTGGGATGGGATGGGGGGGAAGTAATGGTGCTCAACCACTTGGACGGTCGGGGATTGAACGCCGACCTGCATGCACGCCGACTGTCGCTCTAGCGTCCAGTCCAAGTAGTTGGAATAATACGGGAAACCTTTGACAAGCCACAGGCTTCCTGTCCCCATCTAGGCCGCTAGAGAGATGGTCCCTCAGGTAAAAAATGGTAAATGTCTTGGTTAGGCAGCTTGGAGTAAGTAGTTACAGCTTGAGCTCTTGTTAAATTGTCATCATTGTTAGTTTGTTAATTAATTAGTTCCTCTTGTCTTTACAGGTGAGTGTCTGCGTCTAGGGGTGAGCACCTCAGGTGAGTATGCTCAACTTGATGAGCTGTAGCTCCTGGTTCACGGTTCTCAACACAGTGCCGGCTGGTGTACATGTGTCTGAACCTGCAAGTAATATATATATATATATATATATATATATATATATATATATATATATATATATATATATATATATATATATATATATATATATATATATATATATGTATTTGAATCCGTGTATATACTTTACATCAGTGTATTATTCATTCAACTTCTTTATGACTCTGACAGAATCAATTCTATTATCCCTGGGAACTTCATTCCTTCTTGTGTGTCCAATGTTTCTTGGTTTCTGCTGTGTCAGAGAACCTGTCATGGCCTACCTTGTCAATTTCCCCTGAGTATGTTGTATTTAGTAATCATGTCTCACCTGTGTGTATTCGCTCATCTGACCATCGCATTAAACATTCAGACTCTTGTGTACATTGAATTGAAATATAAATAAGTTTACTGAGGTATAAATACACACAAAGGGATGAGGTTGCTCAAGCTGTTCTCACCCCCGTTCAATACAAAGTGTTTATATACACACACACACACATACATATATCACAATCAACATATTACCGACCATTGTAATCGATAAACTTACACAATTCTTCCTATACAAGTGCAGTATGTAAACAAACATACACACACATCCCTGGAAACACAAATAGAGACTTTCTCTATTTTCCGCTTGTTACAACTTGTAATAAAGTTGTTACATTTTGGCTTAACGTGTTTATGACGTATTAGAACGTTGTTACAAACTTACTATATTGGTTGTTATAACTGGTTAGGTGTTAAAACTCATTCAAACGTTGTACCAACGTCGTAGTTTCGGTGTGTGTTTGGCGGGTTATGACTAAGTACCTAGACGTGAGCAGCAGTACATTGGTTATTACTTGGACTTGTCTTCAGCAGAATGTGGTCTTGGGTATAATAAATAGTTGACAAAGTAATTGTTTTCTCAATATATAGAACAAACAGGAACTCGTTTGATGTTTATTTGAATTTACCCGAAGGCCACCCATCTCTAGTGGCCTTGACGGGGGCAGGGACCCAGCGGCTTGTCAAAAATCTCCCCCATTGTCTCCATGATATATCCGTGTAGAATATCGCTAGGAGGTTATCTTGAGATGATTTCGGGGCTTTAGTGTCCCCGCGGCCCGGTCCTCGACCAGGCCTTCACCCTCAGGAAGCAGCCCGTGACAGCTGACTAACTCCCAGGTACCTACTTACTGCAAGGTAACAGGGGCATCACGGTGAAAGAAACTCTGCCCATTGTTTCTCGCCAGCGCCCGGAATCGAACCCGGGACCACGGGATCACAACCCAGTGTTCTGTCCGCTCAGCCACCGGCTCCCATCAGACTCCAATTGGAGGAGATTCCAATTGTAGTGTAACTGCTGACATGCCATGTATTCCGTTACTTCAGTTTACAATCAGTTTACAACCCGGATTTCAGTTACTACAGGGTGAATAGGGATAAACAATTACCGTTTGGCGCAGTCAGTCATCCCGTCCTGGGTTCGAACCAGGCCAACATGCGTAAGGGGGCGAGTGTCCTACCATTCGGCCACACAGGCGGTGACTAGCCAGTGTGTGGTAGTTCAGTAATGAAGGGGGGGGGGTTATATAATATTAAAGTCTATTGGTTTTAATTTCACATTATCGATGAGATGAAAGATAATCCCGAGGAAAGTCTTAAATTATTACTGCTTTGAGACGGGTCAAAGTTCAAGGTCACTTGGTGATGTCTTGTCTCAATATGGCGGAGTTTATAGTGGATTATCATCAGGTTTATGTCTACTCTGATCTACTTTCTAGGAGTTATCCTCCTGGCCTGCTTTCTGGGCGTTATCTTGCCGGCCTGCTTTCTGGGTGTTATCCTCCTGGCCTGCTTTCTGGGTGTTATCCTCCTGGCCTGCTTTCTGGGTGTTATCTTGCCGGCCTGCTTTCTGGGTGTTATCCTCCTGGCCTGCTTTCTGGGTGTTATCCTCCTGGCCTGCTTTCTGGGTGTTATCTTCCCGGCCTGCTTTCTGGGTGTTATCCTCCTGGCCTGCTTTCTGGGTGTTATCCTCCTGGCCTGCTTTCTGGGTGTTATCTTGCCGGCCTGCTTTCTGGGTGTTATCTTGCCGGCCTGCTTTCTGGGCGTTATCTTGCTGGCCTGCTTTCTCTATCTCCTAGCTCTACTCTCTAGGAAGTATATATGGAAGCTGATCAGAATTACATTTCACCTTTGTAAATGCACATTAATGACACTATGTAAAAGACACACCTAATACTTTATGTAGGGCATACGTAAATCTGTGTATCTATGTATTTACGTATGTAGGTTAGCTTAGCATTTTAAAAGCACCGACTCACCTGTGGTTGATTGTTCAATCCCTTGAACTATATGTTTAACACATCTCTAACCCTGTCCATGGAGGACAGAAGAAAATGTATATATGCTGGTTAGCATTGAAAATGTCTGGCCACCTCTGTGGTAAAAAAAATAGCTCTATATTATTATTGTCTAACTCGTCTATACTATTCCGTCTTCCATAATCCCTCCTCCTCTCACCTCCCCTCTTCTCTCACCCCCTTCCCCTCTCCTCTTACCCACCTCCCCACTTCGCCTCTCCCCTCCCCCCGACTCCTCTCACCCCCTTCTCCCTTTTCCTTATAGTTATTATCAACATGAGTATCATTAATCATGCCATTCGCTGCCCTCCACTCCTCTCCTCTCTCTTCTCCCTGCCTTCTCCCTCTCCCACAGTTCTTCACCCCCCACACTCCCTTCCCTTCCCTTGTTCTTCTCTCTCTCTCTCTCTCTCTCTCTCTCTCTCTCTCTCTCTCTCTCTCTCTCTCTCTCTCTCTCTCTCTCTCTCTCTCTCTCTCTCTCTCTCTCTCTCTCTCTCTCTCTCTCTCTCCCTCCCTCCCTCCCTCCCTCCCTCCCTCCCTCCCTCCCTCCCTCCCTCCCTCCCTCCCTCCCTCTCTCTCTCTCTCTCTCTCTCTCTCTCTCTCTCTCTCTCTCTCTCTCTCTCTCTCTCTCTCTCTCTCTCTCTCTCTCTCTCTCTCTCTCTCTCTCTCTCTATCTCTCTCTTTCTCTCAGTCTCTCTCTCTCTCTCTCTCTCTCTCTCTCTCTCTCTCTCTCTCTCTCTCTCTCTCTCTCTCTCTCTCTCTCTCTCTCTCGACTATAAAATATTCCGGGTGTGTACTCATGGTGTTTGGTTAGGGTGTAGCTCTTGGCTCCGCCTCTCGTGACTTTCAATGTATCTTTTCCTATCTTTTTACCTTTGGTTATCCTATCATCTTCTTTCTCTATGCTGCTAATACACTTTTGTTCTGCCTCGCTCTGTTGGTCTGCCTCGCTCTGTTGGTCTGCTTGGCTCTGTTGGTCTGCTTGGCTCTGTTGGTCTGCCTCGCTCTGTTGGTCTGCCTCGCTCTGTTGGTCTGCCCCGCTCTGTTGGTCTGCCTCGCTCTGTTGGTCTGCCCCGCTCTGTTGGTCTGCCTCGCTCTGTTGGTCTGCCTCGCTCTGTTGGTCTGCCTCGCTCTGTTGGCCTGCCTCGCTCTGTTGGTCTGGCTCTGTTGGTCTGCCTCGCTCTGTTGGCCTGCCTCGCTCTGTTGGTCTGCCTCGCTCTGTTGGTCTGCCTCGCTCTGTTGGTCTGCCTCGCTCTGTTGGTCTGCCTCGCTCTGTTGGTCTGTCTCGCTCTGTTGGTCTGCCTCGCTCTGTTGGTCTGCCTCGCTCTGTTGGTCCGTCTGGCTCTGTTGGTCTGCCTCGATCTGTTGGTCTGCCTCGCTCTGTTGGTCTGTCTGGCTCTGTTGGTCTGCCCCGCTCTGTTGGTCTGCCTTGCTCTGTTGGTCTGTCTGGCTCTGTTGGTCTGCCTCGCTCTGTTGGTCTGCCTCGCTCTGTTGGTCTGCCTCGCTCTGTTGGTCTGCCTCGCTCTGTTGGTCTGTCTGGCTCTGTTGGTCTGCCTTGCTCTGTTGGTCTGCCTGGCTCTGTTGGTCTGCCTTGCTCTGTTGGTCTGTCTGGCTCTGTTGGTCTGCCCCGCTCTGTTGGTCTGCCCCGCTCTGTTGGTCTGCCCCGCTCTGTTGGTCTGCCTTGCTCTGTTGGTCTGCCTGGCTCTGCTGGTCTGCCTTGCTCTGTTGGTCTGTCTGGCTCTGTTGGTCTGCCTGGCTCTGTTGGTCTGTCTGGCTCTGTTGGTCTGCCTGGCTCTGTTGGTCTGTCTCTCTCTGTTGGTCTGTCTGGCTCTGTTGGTCTGCCTGGCTCTGTTGGTCTGTCTGGCTCTTTTGGCCTGCCTGGCTCTGTTGGTCTGTCTGGCTCTGTTGGTCTGCCTCGCTCTGTTGGTCTGTCTCGCTCTGTTGGTCTGTCTGGCACTGTTGGTCTGCCTTGCTCTGTTGGTCTGCCTGCCTCTGTTGGTCTGCCCCGCTCTGTTGGTCTGCCTGGCTCTGTTGGTTTGCCTGCCTCTGTTGGTCTGTCTGGCTCTGTTGGTCTGCCCCGCTCTGTTGGTCTGCCTGGCATGCACGGTGCTGGTGGAAGGGGGTGGGGGGAGCAGGCGTAGTGGTTTCTCTCTCACGGCATCAACAGTGGCACGTGAGAATATGGAGCGGGATGATGTGATCGAACTAGAGTCCTGAGTGACCCCAGACGCACGCTCATTTACACATGATATGCTAAAAGTTGCACAAGGTAGAGTGGGTGCGAAGCCACAAGGAGTCTGGAGCCACGGAGCTGGAACCCAACCAGTTCTCCATCAAACGCTCTCGTCATATACACAGTAATATCATTGTGTATCAATTACGTAGAAATTAACACACGATGAACAGTGTGACAATGTCAGACCAGGAAGGAAGGATTAGGACAAGACATTCCTTAAGTAAGTCAAGTCTACTACGGGCTCACCGTAGCCCGTGATACTTGGAACTTTTTGTTCCAGGTAGCGAATCTTAAACAACAACAACTAAAGTAAGTAAGTAATTATCAGAAGAAGGCACCAAGCCGGGAAGGCTATGTAGCTTCAGGACATTCCTAAAGTACTTTCCTGTTTAATAGTACTAAATCCTTTTGAAGATCAGGTAATGTTGTGTTACTGTGTGTATCAGATAATGTGATGTTACTGTGTGTATCAGGTAATGTGATGTCACTGTGTAATGTAATGAGGGAGACGTGTAGGATGTCCCTAGAGACACATCACGTGGCGTCACCTGGGTCACTATTGATTGTAACAGTGACTTCAAGATGCTGCGGTGATCGATTACCTTGACGTTGGGGCGAGGTGACGTGCACTAACCCTCGTACATTACATTTGCTTGGGTTAAACTCTAACAACCATTTGTTCGACCATTCCTGCAGCTTGTCCAGGTCTTCTTGAAGCCTCAAGCTGGCTGTCCTCCTCTGTCTTAATCCTTCTCATAATTTTGGCGTCAGCAAACATTGAGAGGAATGAGTCTATACTTCTGGGAGATCATTTACGTATTTCAGAAAGAAGATAAGTTCGAGTACAGAGCCCTGTGGGACTCCACTGGTAACTTCACGCCAGTCTAAGGTCTCACCCCTCACTAACTATCTGCTTCCTATTGCTTAGGTACTCCCTTATCCACTGGAGCACCTTACCAGTCACTCCTGCCTGTTTCTCCAGTTTATGTACCAGGCTCTTATGGGGTACTGTGTCAAAGGCTTTCCGACAGTCCAAGAAAATGCAGTCCGCCCAGCCTTCTCTTTCTTGCTTAACCTTTGTCACCTGATCGTAGAATTCTATCAAGCCTGTAAGGCAAGATTTACCCTCCCTGAACCCAAGTTGATGGGTTGTCATGAAGTCTCGTCTCTCAAGATGTGTTACTAGGTTTTTTCTCTCGATCTTTTCCATCATCTAGCATGGTATACAAGTTAAGGACACTGTCCTGTAGTTCAGTGCCTCTTGTCTGTCACCCTTTTTGTATATTGGTACTACATTAGCCGTCTTCCATATTTCTGGTAGGTCTCCCGTCTCCAGTGACCTACTATACACTGTGGAGAGTGGGAAGCAAAGTGCTCCTGCACACTCTTTCAGTACCCATGGTGAGATCCCGTCCAAACCAAGAGCTTTACTCATGTCCAAATCCAAGAGATGTCTCTTGACCTCATCTCTTGTAATTTCGAACCCTTCCAAGGCCGCCTGGTTTACTGCCACCTCTCCTAGCACAGTGACCTCTCCTTGTTCTATTGTGAAGACCTCCTGGAACCTCTTGTTGAGGTTCCTCACACAACTCTTTGTCAGTCTCTGTATACCTGTCCTCGCCCTGTTCTAAGTTTCATCACCTATTCCTTCACTGTTGTTTTCCTCCTGATGTGACTGTAGTAGCTTTGGTTCGGTCTTAGCTTTATTTGCTATATAATTTTAATACTTTTTCTCTGCTTCTCACACTAAGATACTTGTTCCTGGTTCTCTGGTATCTCTCTCTGCTTTCTGGTGTTCTGTTATTACGGAAGTTCCTCAGCGCCCTTTTGTTCAGTACCTTTGCTTCCATACATGCCCTATTATACCATGGATTCTTCTTTTGCTTCTCGGATTTTTCCTGTTGGGCCGGGATAAACATGTTTACTGCCTCCTGACACTTTTGGGTGACATAGTCCATCATGTCTTGTACAGACTTAGCTCTGAGGTCTGTGTCCCATGGTATTTTCCTTAGGAATCTTCTCATCTCCTCATAATTTCCCTTTCGGTACGCCAGCCTTTTGTTTCTTAGTTCTTTTTAGGGGGAGATAATTCCTAGCTCAACCAGGTACTCAAAGCTCAATACACTTTGATCACTCATTCCCAAGGGGGCTTCCAACTTAACTTCCCTTATATCCCACTCATTTAGGGTAAATATCAGATCGAGCAAGGCTGGTTCATCCTCTCCTCTCATTCTTGTCGGTCCCTTGATGTGTTGACTTAGAAAGTTTCTTGTGGCCACGTCCAGCAGCTTAGCTCTTCATGTGTCTGGGAATCCATGTGGGTCTTTGTTCACCCAATCTATTTTCCTATGGCCGAAGTCTCTCATGATTAGTAGTCTGGATCCGTTCCTGCTAGCCACAGAAGCTGCTCTCTCTATTATATTAATAGTAGCCATGTTGTTTCTGTCATATTCCTGTCTGGGTCTTCTGTCATTTCTGTAATTCTGGTAGTTACTGTGTGTTGGTGCAGGGAATATGAGTCTGGTAGTTATGTATCGCACCTCTTGCTCGGTAGTGTGTTCTTGTGGAGTAGACTCGTGGAGAGGCAACATAAGGTTTATGAAACTGTAAACAGTTTAGAATACACGTAGACCACTGACAGCTCTATTGTGTTGAAGAGTGTGTATGTGCAGGTTGGGTCAAGTACAGTACTCTTGCCAGATACACTAGGAGCCAGATTCACGAAGCAGTTACACAAGTACTTACGAACCTGTATATCTTTACTCAACCTTTGACGGCTTTGGTTACATTTATTAAACAGTTTACAAGCATGAAAACTTGCCAATCAACTGTTGTCATTGTTATAAACAGCCTCCTGGTGCTTCGTAGCTCATTAACTGTTTAACAATTGTAAACAAAGCCGCCAAAGATTGAGAAAAGATGGACAGGTTCGTAACTGCTTGCGTAACTGCTTCATGAATCTGGCCGTTGGTGTGCAACCCGGTTTCGAGTTCTGCCTTAACATGTTAAAGCTGTGGTCCGGACTCCCTACTCAGTGGCCAATAACTCCATTATTGACCTGAGTTTGAAGACCTCGGTGACGAGCTGTCATCCTTGAACCAGCTGGTTGAGTAGTGGATTGGGCAGTGAGACTCATCACAAGTGTAGGGAAGCTCAGACCTTCATAAATGGTCATTGTTAATACGGTAATTGATGGGGTGTGTAGCGGTGTTTCCTTATGGCAGGACGGTGTTTGGTGCCTCCTTGAGACAACCACCAGTTGTCTTGTTCTGGGACAACCATAACCGCACTGTAGTCCCCAAGACAAGTTGTCTTAAGTATTGGTGTAATTTACATCGGTTGTCTCCTAGAAAATGTCATGGTACGGTCTTCTTAATAGCCACAAGCCTCTGGTATATAACTTAAAGATGTCATCGATGAAGAAGTCCCACAGGAGCCGGCCGATCACATCTCATTAATGTTCACTTCCCTCTATGTTATGTTGAGAGGAGTGGTGTCCTCACACACTCCAGGGTTCACTCTATGGTATGTTCACAGGAAGATAATCTAGAGGGTTGTGTTACTTAGATTTTGACGAACTACTCAAGATTGTCATCAACTCAGTTTCATAAACCTCACTCCGCCTTCATGCAAGACACTAAGACAAGCTCCATCAACGTCACAGACGCCACACTCAAGACTCATGTGTCATCTTCCACAGTGTAAGCGTGGAAGAGGCTGTAAGAGAGGTTGCAAGTGCAAGGACGCAACATTTAACCATGCAGAGAGTTACACAGTCAGGTCCCAGGGATTTGCTAACATTAGTTTCAAACAGCTTTTATTATGAGTATTATTATCAACATGCCAGAGTAGCGAGCCTGGTGTTATAGTGTGGAGGCGACGGAGGAAGAGGGAAGGATGTTGAGTCGAGGATCGAGCGTGAGGAGCGTCTGGCACCACTCGTCACACGGGGATGGACATGCCTGGAATTCCAGCCTCCAAGGAATTCCCAGAATGCTCCGGTGATGGGTGGCTGAGAGAAGCGCGTTCCGGTCCCCTGGATATATTTAGACGGGCTCACACCGTCGTTAAATGCGGGGTTGATACAGCAGTTTGGTTGCGAAGTTTGGGGTTAGCTTGAGGTTTGTAGAAGTCTTGTGTAGGTTGGGGGAAATGGGCTGGTCAAGCGTTTATATTCCTGCGGAATTGAGCTCCAACTCTTGGGCCGCGCCTTTCGCGCCGTCGATCGTGTAAAGCTGTGATCCCTAACCGTTATGTCGTCTATCGTATCTGCTTTTATAAATACTGGCGGTGGCTTCTACTGCCGCCTCGTCTTGGCAATTCCATCGTCCTATTATTACTCTGGAGTATTTAATCACATCCCAATTGTTCATGTGCGTGTCGAGCTTTCTGTGGTGCTCTCCTTCTGTGATATATACATCTCTACATGTGTGAGTCAGTAACTTGGCTGAAGCAAATAACCCGAACCACTCACATGAAATGAAAGTGAGGAAGTTTGAATTTAGTTAATGTACATACAGTACAGCATCTTGGTTTTCCTGTCCTATATCTCATCACCTTCCTCACACCTCTCCTCTTGCCTTATATGGACTCTCCCACTCTTGCTATGACTTGATAAGGGTCCAGGACGGACCGGAGTGTCCTCACATGAGAGGCCAGCACGGACCGGAACGTCGTCACATAAGGGTCCAGGAGGGACCGGAACGTCGTCACATAAGGGTCCAGCACGGACCGGAACGTCTCACTTTCATAACTTTTCATTCCATAAATGTGAGATGGGATATCTTTGTATTCATTGTCGGTGTTTTCATTCTCCTTACTGAGGCTTGTATATTACTGCCAGACAGCTGTTAAAGGTATCTGCC